AACCTGGACAATTTGACCTGTTCTGCAGCCTGCATTGCCCGCAGTTGGGAGACTGGGCCAAAATAATTGGTCACCAGTTAGAAATTGGCATTACCAACAGAACGCGGGTCATCAGGGAGTGGAAGCGGGTAAGATGCCCTCGTCATCCCGACGCCATTGGCTCCAAGCATCCCCAATCGAAAGCATATCGAGCCACCATCTCTATCCATCCCGCCTACAGAGGGAACCTGGATGTTGACACACGTACACACGGAATCCACAATAACACAACATGTCATCATCGAACCTGTCGACGGAAATTCTCGTCATTGTATGAACACGACAGCCGCCTTTAATTCAGGAGTCAATATGCGGATTTTGCTGGCTTGTATGACGTCGGCTTTCTGCTTCAAAATGCTGGCCTGGTTCCTTCACAGACCCCTAATAGCATCCTGTCCTCGGGGGGCAGTGCTGAGTCTGTTGTTTCGGAAGTGGTTCTTGTTTGTGGTCCCACTAAGCCGTGAAACTGGCTGGTAGGAGGCCATGACCAGATGCTGTTCTTCGAGGCTGTTCTTGCAGGACCAGAGAACATGCATGCTGGGGCAATATAGTCGTATAAGAAAAGGACCTCGGAGTTGTTGACGAAGCCCCAGAGACTATGTGGATTCGAGCTAGCCAGCCGCAGTCCTGGCAATCCTCTCAGATCAAAAGCATGCTAATTATCACAGGTCGCCAGACATCTAGCCCGCCCGCCAAATTCCCTCCAAGGACGACTCGGCCCCGCTCACCACTATCTCCTATACACCCACCAGCCTCCCTTCTGCCCTTCTGCCGAAAATGCTCCCAAGCACCGCGTCTTCTCCCGGAAGATGCAAAAGGTTGTGTGGGAAGACACACGTGGAACCATAATCGTGTACGGAGTTGGAAGGGAGGTAGGGATGCGACGGTGCCGTGTTTGATTGATTCGGCTGTCATTGAGAAAATAAGCATTATAATACTCCGTACTCCTCTATTGACTGTTGTCGATCTCTCGCATCGCTAGGCGCAGATCACTACTCGTTAATGCATCCACACTTTCGGAGCCGACAACGTGCTCAACACGGCCGCTCAGTGCGTCAATACCCTTCTACCTACATAGTGCTGGCTACACCAGTTGACCAGCATGTCTCATGCTAGCATTGTAGGGACTATCGAGGCTGAAGACCACAGTACGGTCTTCGAAGCACGACGCCCCGAACAAAACCCCCCTAGCTAGTCCCCGGTAATCTACAGTATTGATCCCTTGGCCAACAAGTACCACCGCAAGCGCACTTACCTAAGAAGTACAATTACGGCGGGACACGGCAACTAGTTGTTCTCACCCGTCGTCATTATCATCGCCAAGAAGTTCATTCATGCATGCATCACCCAGGTAGCAGACTGTGAAGAGAACCTGTGTTTGGGAATGGCGATTAATGCTAACTAGTCACCTCCGACCTTGAACATTTGGCATGATTAACGAGCACCAGAAGGCCTCGAACAGGTCGTCCTTTAAAAAAAGAAAAAGAGAGAGTTTATGCGCGTGGAACAAGACAACCTGCTTGGAGAGGAATCCTCTGCTCCGATTAGCATGTGTGGGCAGCTTGTGCGGTAAGCTATTGCCAGACTTCTCGACTACCGGGTCATATGACCTCTCCCATGGCTGTGATGGAGCGATCGAGACATAAGACAAGGTACTGATTTAGAATAGTACTAAATAGTACTAGCTACATGGTACTAGAGCATTTGCCAAACACGACCCAAGTTGGACGGCGTAATATGGAGTAAAGGTGGTGAGTACCCCGCAAGAGTATGATTCTTGTATTACTACCTCGCGATGGAGCCACACTCTCCAAATATTGTATTGTACGGAGTAACGGTATGATTTATTTGTTACAACACAATTGGCCATTTGGCTTATCAAAAGCGGCCTCAACACAATAGCTTGGAGATTGCAGCACAGCCTGTAGCGACTAGAATCATTTCCGAGCCTCGACTGGCACGATGGCCATGTTCCAGGATTGTCGACAGTATCAGTAGCTGGACCTGCTTATAAAAAAGGTCAATGGTCTAGAATGGCAAATGGGTACCCGAAGCCCTCCCTGGTCCATGATTATTGGCAAACCCACAGCGGGACCTGGATCCATGCCGAAGCTTCGATGAAGAAGTCGGCTAACGAATGACGGCAGGCTTGGCTCCCAAGTTGGGCCGTAAGAAGATGTGTGGCGAGGCCAAACCGCCTGCACCAGATTGGATGGACTTGGGATTTGGAGATGGAGACAACTCTGGGACACAATTTCAAGAAAAGTATCCGGCGACGACACAACGACAAGGGAACCTGTCCGACAACGACCTAACCAGCCCTGAGGGATTGAACTATACAATATCTCTCTCTGTAAATGCAATATGGCACCCAGGGTTCCACCTCGATTATCAAAAGCACGACTTGTGGCCAGGGCTGGAGGGAGATCAGGCGCTTTCCGGCAGCTTGTTTTGGACGGCACAGTGTGCGTACGCTCTTGCGGTTGGCCATTCAAGAATCACCCATGAAGACGAGGACCAGGGGCAAATAAACACTGTGGATGGTGTCTCCGTTTGCCTCGACACGGGGATTTATCTGTCTGTCTGTCTGCTTGGCCTGCTATTTTCGTTTGAACTTTGGTAGTTGGACCGGCCGACATCCGGCTCTTGGGCTGTAGTGGTAGATGTGTTACTTCGGAATCGGCAAAGACGACGACAACAACACGGCACTTTGATGTCCTGGTGGATCGAATCAAGTCGCCAGCCATGCCACGGCATCGTCGGTGTGAATTGTCAATACCGAAATTACCAAATGTATCGATGGAACAATAGGTCCAAGTCTATTGGGATACTTGGTGCGGAGTACCTTTGCACATGGAATAATTCCTTGCATGAATGCACAACAATCTGTAGTTATTTATGTCAGTACTACCGCGATTTAAGACGATATTGTACATAGTTATGTACTCCGTACCAAGGAGAGACGGCCAGACCTCCCCTGGATCACCTACAAAAGCGCCCTTCGTTCCGGCAATGATAATAACGTCGATTGTTGGTGCCCCTGCAATAGCTCACCCCCTGGTTGGACTGGTAAGAGAGTCGCAGGCAACTGCGGCTCGGCATTTCATTTAATGAAATGCATCAGGAGAGAGAAAAAAATTTTCTTATCAAATGATGACGAATCCTAATCCTACCATAAATTGGCCATTTTGGCCCCTTTCCGCGCACCAAAGGGCAGAGAACAAGGCCAATCGGCGACAATGGAGCAGAAACAGTGCAGGTCACTCGCAAGCAGTTTCAATCATAATACGTGTCTGTCAGATGCGTGAATGATGGGAATCGGGTGGGCTAACGTGTTGGCAGGCAAATATTAGCATGTGTATAACAATTATTGAGCGGAGCATACCGAGTACTCCGGATGTAGTACAAAGATGCAAATATACCGCGCTGCATGACCAATGCCAAGCCAAACTCGTCCATGATGCATCCGTCCCTTCCATTTCGAGTAGACGTTGCTCAGATCATTGGCGAGATTTACGCCGGGGTTTTGGGTCTTGTCAAGCCTGTTCAGGCCGTTATTAATATATACAATGAGTATGTGAGTATGTATGTATATTAGAGACGCGACACGTGTTTGTGGGTAATCTGTCGTGTGCGGTTCTGGCAAATCTGCCAAGATAAAAAAGCCCGCCGCAGTGACTGCGTGCGTACATTGGACATTGGGACTGTTGGGTGTGGCATGCAGAAAATCAACGTCTCTATCAAAGTAAAGATGCTGCGGGCGATCAGAGACACCGTGCATGCGTCCCAAGGCGCAGTCGGGCGGAGTTGTGTTGGTCTCGATGATGTTGGCGGCGTCTACTCCGTAGTAGTAGTTCCGTACTTTCCGTGGTCGGCAGCGGGATCTGGCATAAAATACTAGTAGTTTAATGCCCGCAAGACATTTGGCGTCGCGGGCACAGACACACAGACACACAGACACACCTTCACCTTCACCCTCACGTGGTCGCTCGGCCTCGTCGCCAGCATGCTCCGTATTCTGCCACTCCCACAGCAACAAAAAATTACCACGACTCCTATCTAACCCGTTCTGCTCCGTGCTAACCCACTCTGCTCATTGATTGGCACGCAGCTCTGCACCCGTCGCCAAATCAACACCCCAACCGCCCAAACCGGTTGCAGGGCGTCCCAAACTCTAAATGGATCAGAACCTCCTAATCAGGCGACTTGGGAGGATATGGCGCGCTCTGATTGGCCGCTGACCGCGGAAGTGGCCCGTGCCAAGGGGTGCGCACTGAGTCTTGACACCGCCCTGAAACGAGATCCGTCAGGCCGTGCTCACAAGCCGTTCAATCCTGGGTACCAAGTGTACCAAGTCGCACCAAGTCAATCCGCTGCAGAAACCTCTTGCAGACAACTCGTGCGCACTTGCCAATTGCCCTTTCTTCCCTCACTATTGTGAAGCTTCTCTCCTGGCGGCTGGTCCTTTTCTGCATCCTTCACCTCAGGTATCCGGATAATACCCTCCTCCGTTCGCAGTTTCCCTCTCCTTTTTCTGCCGTTTATACATCGCCAGTCTTTCGTCCTCCTTGTCGACTACGCCAAAAAGAAATCCCATGACGTTGATGACCGGAAAAGTACTCGAAACGCTCGGCCAAAGCAGGAGTTGCATTTTCGTTTCCATCTGGATGTAATCTTTCTTCCATCTTGTCCCGTCGTTGTTTCCCGCATTGGAACATTATATATATACATACATACTTGGCGCAGGACGCCATCCCGAACCGGAAGCAGACAAAGATCCTCCCGAGTCAAAACCACCAGCCGAAAGCATCTCGAGCCCCCAGGGAAAAGCAGCAGCCTGTTCCAAAACGCATTTGATAAATAAAAGTAGCACCCGGGGGGAAGGAAACTGAAGAACCAAAAACACAATAAAAAAAACCGCCAACCCACCGAGCCACGGAAAAAGAAGGGCAGCACCAAGAATGGCCAACAAAGTCTTCAGCACCACGCTCGGCATAAGCCTCCTCTTCCTCGCCTCTGGCTGCCTCGAGCTCGGCTTCTCCCTCGCCGTCCGGAGTATGATGGACAACAAGCCCGAGAGCGGCCAGGAAGCCGTGCGAAATCTGCTCTACAAGATGTTCCCCTTGACGGCGGGCATCGTCAACGGCGCCGCCACCCTGGCCATCTTTGCCTTCACCCTCCTCGGCCTATTGTCGCCCATGAGGTCGTGGCTCAAGGCGGGCGGCTACCTCATCAACCTGTGCGGCCTCTTCACCCTCTGCCTCGGCGTCTACCTCTGGATCATGACCCTGCGCCTCAAGGACGGCTTCTTCCCGACGTACCTCGAGCTAGATCCCAGCGTGCAGTCCCTCGTCCAGCAGTCGGTAAGCACCGATGTACCCCCTCTTTGTTTCTTGTTGGGGCCTTGATTTTGAGCGAGTTGGGTGATTTTTGCTAATGCAAGGAGCGGGTAGTTCCAATGCTGCGGCTACTATAATGCCTCGACCCCGGCGTTTGTCACGGATGCGACGTGTCCTTCGCCCGCGGCCGCAGCGCTTCTGCGAGGTTGCGGAACGGCCATTTCCAGCTTCTCCAACATCTTTATCGACAATATCTTTACTGCGCTCTTTGGCATCGTCGGTGTGTATTGCCCCCTTTGTGAGAAACAACATGCCGGTTGTGCAGCGATGCTAAGGGTAGTTGAAACCTAGGACTCGACGCCATCTTCATACTCTCCATTGCGTGTCTCCTCAAGGAGCGCAAGGAGCGCGAGCGATATCGCCATATTGATGAGAAGAGTGGCTTCAGGCAGTTTTAAGAGCTGTTTTGGTCGGGTTCATCCTCAATATACGTGGACGGATATTTCTTGATCTGGATCCGGTGGCTCCTTTTCTGATGGCTCTGACAAACGGTTCGTGGTCCATATCGAAATATGGAGATGTAAATAATATTTTTTTTATCCCTACTTGTGGTAGAAATAGTTGCATGCATGGTAGCGGTGCTCAGCATTTTCAATGTATTCTTGCTTTTGTCTGACGCATCGCGATGCGTGTACTCATGGTGTATTGCATGGTTAGTTACGGTTCCCTGGCCTAGGTATGGCTAACATGTAGTATTACTAGATGTTTGACATGATCATCTGGCTCTCTCTCTCTCTTTTTTTTTTCTTTTTTTTTTAAAAAAAAAAATCAACTTGATAATATTCTTGCTCTTGATCATGGACTAACCCTGTACCTGGTTTATCGGTGACCGTTTTCAATATCCTGTTACACTATGGCTGTAGTTTTTGCATGTCCAAACACTTCTTTCCAAGCTGTGTTCTCCTTTTAATCTTGGATGGCGTTCTTGCACTTGCATTCTTGGAAGTGCAGTGATTCTATGGCATGCCATGTAGCGAATTACATGGTGGTCCGGGAGGCAGACAATGTCAATCCTCCGAGTCTGAGCCATGGATGGCTACACCCGCTCGTTTCATCAGATGACATTTGAACTCCTTTCTAGACAAGCGATGACCGTCCCAGCAGGGACAGGCACTGATAAAACACAAAGAGCATACTACACACTACTAACCACCACTCTGACCCATCCAGGGCAACGGTTGTACAATTATTCAAGATGACAAAATAAATGCTTGTAAAAAGTCTTGTGAGCCAGATGTATTTCGATGCTTCTTAACATAATGAAAAAAAAAAACAAACAACAAATGATATTATGCCCGAGGTGAAGCCTGTTCAATGCCTTGCCCAAATATTTCTTGAGACCATTCAAGACTCCTCTTGTTGTATAAAGGTCTACCCAATCGCCATGGTTCGAATATCTAATACGCCAGTCTAGTACGCCAGTTTCGCCTCGCCTCGCCTCCGCAAACAACCAAAGACGGCATGTCCAATGCGCCACTTATACGGCCGAATCGTTGGCTGCTCTTCCCCGGTGACTCGGGGCATCATGTTCATTGTCGTCATAGTACTGTCGTGATATATCGTCTGCTGTGAAGGAGCCGCTCATTGACCTTTGCATCTCTCGCCTTCTGAGCCACGGTATTGACTGGAGCCAGCCGCTTAGAGACCCCGAAATTGAAGACTGCCGCTGTCGTATGTTTCGGCGCGCCACCAGACCGGGAAACCCTGTGCTTCTCCTCCTCCGCCTGCCAAATCTATAAGACGGGGGCTCGTGGCCGGGGCCAACCTCGCCCGATGTCGCAAAGTTACCACTGACCGACCTCCTCGGAGGCAGCAATGGAGACGATTCTGATTGTCCGGGCAAAGTCGCGGAACGTAACCGTCCCGTCGGAGTAGGAGGCTCCTCTTGGTCTTCCAGTTCGCCCCAAATCTCAGCTCTTTCTGCCCACCTAAACTCCTTTTTCTGGGTCGGTGCCAGGGCAGTGGTATCACCGTTGGCAATTGAGAATGTCTGGTAACCTGACGAGCTGCTTCCCTCCTCCACAGCAATCTCTGAACTAAGCAAAGACTCCTCTTCGCCTTCTGTATCGTCGAGGAGCCCCAGTCCCGGAGCTAGTGTTGACTGCCCGACGCCCGGAGCATGTTGTTCATCGCTAAGCCGCCACGAGAGGGCGAGGACGCCAGAGAGCAAGATGACCGTGCCGAGAGCAATGAGCCCGGCATGAAGTGGCGGAATCAAGCTCACCTGGTCAAAGTATATTAATCCATCCAATATGGCAATGATGTTGTATACGCAAAACACAAGCGGATAAAGAACCGAAGTCGAGACTAGCTTTAGGCCGCGATGTAAATAGTAAAGCTGACAAAGCGCCAGGGAAACCAAGCCGAGGACAATTGCCCACGACTCCCAATGGGAAAACTGATTGTCGCCACCAATGGTCTTGATACACAGTTCCACAGCTGACTTGGCAAAGAGCAAGGCGTGTGCCGATAAATCCCCGCTGATGACACCGTATATAATGCCACGGGCAAGCCTGAATCGAGAATTGTGTGATATGCTCGACATGCTATTGACAACATCGGTAACCGTGCCGAGCCCCACGACGAACACAGCCTGCAACGTCATCCAAGCTATAAAGGGCCCTCGTCCCAGCAAAATGAGTAGGCCGTTCAAGTCGTGAGCTGGAGACGGAATGGCCCCGAATATCGCAATCAAGACAGCGCCACTCGTCACCAGGAGGGTGCCGCAAAGAGACCATCGCGTAAACGGTTCGTTAAGGATCAAGGTCGCACAGATGGAGTTGAAGACGAGACCGGCGGCTTGCAAGGTGGAAAGCACTGGCAACGGTAGCGTGGAGATCTGCACTGTACTGCCCAAGAGATTCGCCACGACGAACATTCCCATCCCCAGCTGCCACCTCCGCCTCCGGTATGGTGGTCGTTGAATATGATGAGGTTCCTTTTCATCTTCGAGAATATGCGACTTCCGCTGCAAGGTAAGCCCGAGACTCTGGACGCTGGTCGATATCAGGCCGACGAGGATTCCCAGCTACACCAAGACCCGTTAGCGCATAGTCGTGCAGAGAAAAGAATGGCAAGGCTTTATTCCTGGGTGTCGCATACAGCTATACTCCCACCGGGGGAGATACTCCCTGTGGTTCTCATCTCGCGGCTACCGCAGGCACCAGCATCTGGCGGTGGACGACGGCACGGATGGCACGAATCGATTGCATAGAAGTTGCCCGCCTGTCGCCTATGAATCGTTATCGAGCGCGACAGGTTGGGGAACCATTCGTGAAGGGACCGGACGGGAATATCTTCGGTCGGGTTGAAGCCTGTGTGCAAAGGACGAATGTTGGGTTGCGGTAGCTATACAGGGAAACGAGGTGACCAGCACCTCGACAGACCGGTATGTCGCCCAGGCCGTCGATATCACGCTACGCGATGCTGTTAGTCGACCGACCCGAGGGAGAATGGCGAACTAGGGTGTGCCTGTTTTGCGATGAGAGGGTTATGATGTAGAATGCAGGATGCAAGTTGCCGAACGCCAACACCTGACTGACATCAGGATGAGATCAAGCAGGGGCTTCTAGTAACGACCTTTGGGCAGAAGGGGACAAGGGCCTATTGTACTACCAAGTAGGAGGCACTAAGCACTAACTACTAGTACTACGCAGAACTTAGATCCCTTTGAATGTGCCTGGCGCAGGTGCCAGTGTTCCATCCACTCCACTTTTTCTGCGATGCTCAGTAATTACATCTTTAATAGCTTCCTGTGTGCCTTATTTTAATGTAGCTCTTTTTATACGTAAAAATACAAGTACTTTTTTTATTATGTCAACTGTTAGGTTACTTGTATATCTTTTAATCTAATATCTTTAAATTCGTCAACATCCTTGTTCGTTTTACATACCAAACTGGCACCTGCGCACATTCAAAGGGATGCGGGCTTTGGGGCCTGGTGTGGCCGCGTGCGTGTTGGTGCAGAGACCGAAGAATGAAAGGCATGCTAAGACCCCTGTGGTCAAGACGGTCTGATTTCAAAATGTTGGTCTGGTCGGTGCGAGGTCAGGGTGCACGCACCTAGAGCAAACAAACCACTGCCTGGACGACCAGAGCCACCAGTGAACACACGCCTGCATGCTGTCCCCTGATGGACGGTCCCCTTTAATCTTGTCCAAGTCATGTGATACGTCATGTGCATTGGCGCTCCGTGGCGGGGTCAACGTGTCTGGTGTGGCTAGTCGCTCTGTGGCTTGAATCCTGGTCGCCGCCGGGGGCTGGTGATCTGGATTGAGCAGCTGCTGTCCGTACAGCGTACAACGCAGGAGCCAAGCTCTCTCTGGCTGCACCCGTAGCGTCACAGGCTCACAGCTGCCTCCGGCCTCAACGTACCTCCACTCTCCAGCCAGACGACATCCATCCCGTACCTCGTCGTCCCGCGATACATCATCCGACTTCCTCGAGGCCAGCCAGCTAGCAAGTATTGTAGCTGCTTCATCGCATCCTGCCGTTCATCTCTTTCCCACAGAGACACAGACAGCCCTTCACAACCTCGCCCAGCATGTCGCAACACGCATTGTCCGACCAGCAGGTACGCAGATAGTCCTGTGTCATCGAGCACCAAGACGCATTTATCATTTACATCCATTTCTGCATTTTCCCACTACAGCGCATACCCCCCACCACCCGTACCCATACTAACAATGACGTTTTTTTCATCGTGTTCAGGTCGACAATGAGCTCCGCAAGATGACAGCGTTCATCAAGCAAGAGGCCATGGAGAAGGCCCGCGAGATTGAAATCAAAGCCAATGAGGAATTCGAAATCGAAAAGTCCAAGCTCGTCCGCCAAGAGACCGACGCCATCGACATCCAGTACGAGAAGAAGTTTAAACAGGCTACCATGTCGCAGCAAATCACTCGGTCCACCGTTGCCAACAAGACGCGGCTCAAGGTCCTCAGCGCTCGACAGGAGCTCCTCGATAGCATATTCCAAGAAGCCGAGAAGAAGCTCGCGGATGGTGCCAAGGATAAGGCCAAGTACCAGAAGATTCTCAAGGGTCTTATCCTGGAGGGCTTCTATGCTCTGAACGAGCCGATACTGCAGGTCCAGGCCAGAAAGAAGGATTATGATATTGTCAAGAAGGCCATCGACGAGGCTGCCAAGGAATACAAGAAGGAGGTTGGCAAGGATATTGAGGGAAAGATTGATGAGGCGAATCCTTTGCCCGAGGGGTCGTATGTGCTTTCCCCCCGTTTCTGAGTAGTCATGCCCAAAAACTAACCTGTTGGATAACAGAACTGGGGGTGTCATCATCGTCAGTGGCAGCGGCAAAATCGATATCAACAACACCTTTGAGACGCGGCTGGAACTTCTTAAGGACTCTGCTGCTCCTGCCGTCCGAGAAGCTCTGTTTGGCAAGAACCCCAACCGAAAATTCTTTGATTAAACTCGTCGTATGTCACGGTTGAATGGAAGAGGAAAACGCAAATGTACTACCTCGCTCGACGACATGTACCTCATTGGGCATTGCCGAGCGACCTGTTTACGAATGGCCCGTTGGTGCGGAAAAAGCGCCGTGTTCACAGCAGCATCAAAGACTTGCATTGTTGTCTTTAAATTGTCCCCAGTCCGTGCGATCGTAGCTTAGAGGCTGTACTATAAACTTGATATATTTTGATTGTCCATAATGTCTAGACTGGGTATAAACTCCAATTTCCTTCAACGCCTCGTTTCTTGATGCATGATCCACACAAGGTCCCCAAAGCACAGTCATAAGTCGTACATAGAGTAGTTAACCCCGAGCAAATACGATGGTATCCTCGAGAGAAGGCACCTAATCTTCTGCGCATACAATCGTGCCTGGCTCCGTCTCGGCAGCAGGAGGTTCCTTAACAACCGGCGACCTCGCCGTCTTCTGAAAAAATTTCTTCATGCAGTCCCTCTGTCTCGGCAGAAAAGGGTCCTCATTTAACTCGGGAAGATCAAACACGCTCTTCCTGGCTTTTCTTCGAGTCCGCACGCTATGCGACAGCCGCTTCTGCACCCACTCGACCACACTCTTCGCCTCGGTTCTTGCCAACTTCATACCAGAGTCGTTTGTCTTTCTCCAAATTTCCTGCAGCATCCCCGCTAGTTCATCCACCTCCTCGTTGAACTTTTTCTCGTCTTCGACGTTGTTGAATTTGACGACGGAGCCATCGTCGATGGCTATGTCGAGAAGGATGATGCTGGCGCGGAGATTGGAAAAGTCTGTTTTGTGGGTGATTGTGAAGCTGTCGGTGTTGAGGATGTCTATGATGCCACGGAGGGTGACGACGTCCTCCGAGTTACTGCGGGCTAGAGAGTCGTCCTGAAAGAGTGTTGCGACTGCCATTCTCCTGCGCAGGTCATGCACTCGTTTGCTGGAGATGGGAAGACAAAGAAGAGACGTGGCTTTGATGGTGCGATATTCTTGGCCCCAGTTGAGGAGAGAACAAGTTTCGAAGCACTGTGCTTTGTTAGAGAAGCTCTCGGCAGGCAAGAGTAGCGAGGCTTTTTTGCTTACAAAGTTGTTCCACGAGGGACTTGGGAGAGCGCCGACGAGCTCCTGGATTGTATATTCAAACTCGGCTAGGACTTGGATGTTGCAGATCAAAAATTTATCCAATGACAGTCGGAGAAGTGCCTGAGTGGCATATTCTGCAGCCTGTACTGACAAATGGCCGGCAATGAGTCCAAGTAGCGAGATGAAGGACTGGAGGCAGGCCCAGTCACGGCCCTCGTACGGCTCACGATCCAGTCTGGACACAGTCAACTCTGGATGAAGACCCGATTCTCTGGCATCTTGCGCTCCAAGCCGTGTGAATAACTGTCGTAACCGTTCGGCTGTCAATAGACGCTCAACTTGTTCTGCACAGCTAGCCACCATGTTGCAATATTCCTGCCTCACAATAATCGAAGGGTGCGTGCACAACGAGTCCAGCATCCAGTCGAACAATGAATCAGGCAGGTCGCCGTTTTTGCGCAAGCGCAAGATATTCTGCGGTAGCCCTGATATCAAATGCTGTTCCCTTGTCTTAGCATTGCCCTGCGTCAGGAGATTCCACAGAGACTTTCTCCCGAGTTCCGGAGCCCTTGGGGCGGACGGCGCCTTGTACTCCTCCTTGAAAAATAGGTATCTCGGCTGTGCTTGCGAGGTACCGGATCTCTCAACAGCCCGGAGCACCTTGTGGGCATTCTGCCCTCCATTGTCCTTCATAATCCCGGCAATAGCATCACCCGTAGAGAAGGACGAGATATTCTTGCCCTTTGCCTCGGCGGCACTCGTGGCTTCCTTCACTTTTAGCGAGCTCGCCGTCGTGGCATCATCCCGCCGCGCATCCTTTGCAAGGGCCTTCATGTCAAACTTGTGTCTCGGCATGATGGCCAACGGCGACGCGGGAAACTCGACTGCTATTCTTTTCGCCTTTGGCGTAGCATACGGATTATGCCGGGGCTTCTGTTCCGCAGGGGCTGCATTCTTGGTTTGGTTGAGTAAACACGAGAGGTCTTCTAGCGAGTCGTCTGAGGAGTCGCCATCGGATTCTTCGTCGCCATCGGAGCCCCCAATCTCTACTGGCCCTCGTTTTTGAGGCGTGACAGGCCGCTCTGGAGATGACGACGGCGGAGACGGAGAGGGCGACACTGGGGCTGGGCTTCGTGGACGTGCTGATGGTGGTGAAGGCGGCGGTTGTGCGACGGGTTTGAAGAAGTGCAAGATATTTCCACTTCCGCCTCCGCTTCGGGGTTTTTTATTTGAACCTGTTGCTGGCATGACGACAATGCAAAAACGCGTGCCTCCTTGGGCTCGCCGTAGCCAACGTCGAGTCGTATTCCTTGGCTATGCTGTGCTCGATGTGCTTATTCCAGTAAAACAAAATCCATTTGACCTGACGTCAGGCACTTTGATGTTGCAGGGTCCAGGACTCCATCCCGGTCGCGTCTCAGTGGCGGCCACCGCGTCGAGACCCAATCGGGCTAATTTGTGCTGTGCTGACTCAACCCAAGTTGTTTGTGTGAAACAGTTCAGTCAACATGTACTCGTGCTGTCTTTTAGTTCTACAGGCTCTTTTGAGTCCAATAAGTTCAACAGGCATATTTTTTCGCTGCTTTAATATTCAGTTACTGAATGCCGGTAGCCAAATTTTCTTTGGATCACAATGCAGGTGCTGTAATAAACTCAGGCACTGATCTTGGCTCTGGAACTGTGGGACATGATACTTACCGAGCTGCATTTCAGCTCACACTTTCGCCTTCACGATTTCGCCGAGTACGCGATAAGAAAATACGATGAGGCAAAGAACTGAAAAGTGTATGTACCCAGGTATGTACTGTATTCTCTAATCTGCCTATATTTGACCTGGTAGTCTCCACCTGGTAGTTACTCCGTATAATGAAGATCCTAAGATGCTGGCGCTTGTTGCACAGGCGCCACCATATTGAGCAATACGTACCCACGAATGCGGTATTTCTAGTACGGCATGCCGTGTTAGCGAATGCCATCCATGCATCGAGTCAATATGACCGCATCAACACTGATTCTCGGGCCGTGTTGGCGCGGCGGCCTGCCTATCAGCCGGGTCATCATACTTAAGTAGTCAGCTGCAGGGAGCTGATTTTGATCGACATCGCTATCGTGAGAGTAGGCCTCGTTCTTTACTGTGGTTCCAACAATCCCTCCCTTTCAAACATGACGTGGCTCGGACCTGACATGACGACGCTTGGTCAGTGACGTGCCTAGTTATCAGAGCATACTGTATGCGTGGTATGATATGTAAAAAACCATCGTCTCTGCAACTGGTGGTGCTACTGGCAACGAGTGGTTGTTAGCATTATTATCCTGTTGCACTCTGTGGGTCCAACATCACTCCTCACCTCCAGTATAATCATATATCACATAATTTAGCAGATGATTGCTTTCGAACCAATACACAAAGCGTGTTGGCCTTTCGTAGGATCAGGGACAAAGAGGCAGGGGTAAATGCCAAGTTTCACAGTGCTATTATCGAAACATTGTCATGACTTGTTGCTTGAAGAGACTCAACCCAAGACAATGGAGTACACTACCCCACGTTAGGAGGAGTACGAAGCATCTGGGGGCGAGAGACGAATCCTGAGCCCTGAGGGGGTGCGAGACATGATGACAGAACCCAAGTGGCGCGCCGGCGAGTTAGGATCGATACCGCCGACCTGGTCCATTCAGGCGTTTTTATTTGAATGAATTGTAGCCTCTTTGTTCTGCATTGTATCGAAAGAGACCCTGGTTGAAAAACACCAGAACAAGCAACATTGAACAGATGCAGGTGGCAGGCGGCACGAGTGGAGACCGCCCCACAGCTCCCTGCGCTAGACTGCGCTAGAGGGGCATTTGCGACGAAATGGGCCGGACTTCCAGACCTTCACGGAAGGTGCGATTCAAATCTACGAGATAAGTTATTAACTGCCTAGGTGGCTACGGGGTACCTAGTAGTTCATTTGCATCCATAGAAACAATTCATGTGAAGGGATTGTGCATTTATTGGGTAGCATCTCTGCCCGGCCACCAGCGAGATCATCGATAATCGATTGCATTGATGACTGGAAGCTTCCTTCCTTGCATGTACCTTGGCGTGCTCTGCCTAATCAGTGGTGAGTGAGGCTGAGCCTCTCTCCAAGCAACCCCAAGCAACCCCAAGCAACTAGGGAACCTGGACCAACATGAAGCTGGTTTGGCCCCCGTCAGCCACGAACCTGTCTCATAGCTTTGTTGCAGCGTTGATGTCACCGGCAAAAAAAGAAAAACCTTTCCCCGGGTCTCGAGCGCTATTAATCAGATCAGGCCACGCACTTGGAAAACGAAGAACGCGACACCATCGCCCAAACTGCCTCCCGGTTACACCATGGACACAGCCGTCAGCACACCAAAATTGCCATGCGGCTGGGTTGGCCAACAATGAAATTTTTGCAGTGGCTGAGATTGGCAATTTCGCTGTCACGGAGTTCCCGTGTCGCCGTTTGATGCCGGACAACAATCATCTGGTTGGCGTCTGCATCTTCCCCCACCGCCACAACGCACAACGGAGCAACCGGTACGCAGTCGGACCCCAAGGCGACGCCAACGTAGATTGCTGTCGAACCTGGGGATGAAACAATTAAAGCAGTCCGTGTGGTTACAGGAGAAGGATTTGCGGTTGAAGAAGTCACCAGAACGAAATTGGAGCGACAATGGAAATAGGATTCGGCACAGGAATGCATAACAGGTGTAGCGCGCTAGGCCAAAGGATGCGAAATACTAACGAACGAAGAGCGCACAATGCGCGAGTGTCTCATTTGCACTTTTCCATGCCGGGAAGCGAGTTTCATTGTCAGCAAAATCCTCGAGAATAAAGCCAGGGGCGCCGCTGCCTGAATGACCAGCCGGACCCCGGCCATCCAACGTGGGCCAAGACTGGAGAAGCCAACGGTTGGCATGCGTGAACCGCGTCCCTGGATTGCATTTAAGGGGCTCTTGAATACCTGTCAGGGGCGAGAGGTATGACGGGATGCGAGCGGATGCCAATGTCTGCCGCAGGCGCGCTTGAATGGAGCGGCAAAGAAAGAATGGCTCAGCGAGAATGCAAGAAGGGCATGTATGCATCTCGGTCATCGCCAGGCGGTGATGCCGTGGGCTGCCCGCCGTGTTAATAAAGTCAGCGCTTCGTGTACACTCAGCAAGGCTGGTAAATGAGACGCTGCAGATGCAAAAACAAGCTTCAACGTTCCAACAATTCACACGAGAGGATGGAAGCTAGTCATTAGTCCTGCACACCATGACCGAGCCGCCAAGGCTGTGGGCTTGCCTGTAAAGCCATTTCCAGTCGATGAATCCGGTTGACTAGCTGTGCGAGTGGTGCTGACCAATGCTATAGAACATGCTGGCAGCCATTTTGGGCTGACGGCATGGCGCAGTATACGGGAATGCCTCCGAACTTCCCTGCTTTTCGCGATAATTTGCCATTTTAAAATTGCCGCTGACTGACGATGTTTCTGCACATAAGCCACCGGCAAACACATTCGGCTCAGCTCACCTGACACAGCCTTAATCAATCATGAGCCATGGACACCTTCTTACTCGGTACAGCGCTGAAAACTGTGGTACTACATGCTTTGCAAGATATGGAGAAAGATTGGCAAAGTTGACAAAGCCTCTGTGGGGACTTTACGAAAACTCGGTCGGATGGGCCGGGAACTAGCCTCGAAATATTACCCGCAGAGGCCGCTTAAGTGGGTGAGAGGGGGAACACTGACTGGCGCCCCGACGTGGCCGACGATGGCTCGTGTAACGGCTTGCGCACGGAGTTTGAGTACAGTAACTGCTCTTCCGTAACATGCAAAATGTCACAGGCGGCCACTGCACACTCCGCTCTCTACACAGTCGGGAGTACTATAGTGTCCGTCAGGATGGGCAGAGCCTCTCGTCAAGCCGACCATCCGGATAGTAATAGCCATTGGTGGTTTACTCTGTATGTACCGAGGGTACTACGGAGTACTAGTCGGGCTTTTTGAGTGGCACCCATCCCCCTTGCCATGCCGCCCATCTCTTCCATACTACCAAGCAGGGCTGGGGCTGACAGGTGCCGTGGCGGCGCTCCAGCCCGTCAACGTCAAACATCGAACATACTGCACCTCGCAGCAGTGCTGGGGATACGGGACGGATGCGAGTCAACTGGAACTCCGTACTTGAGCACGAAGGACACGGACATTTAGATATGTCCCAGGCATATATGCAGATAGTCTCAGCACCTCAGTGTCAGTTGATTCAATAGTCAAGCCGTGCCGGATCAATTGACCGCACTTTATGAGATGTTGGAGTTACTGAACGGGCGCTGAACAAGCATTACAATAGAGGCAACAGGGGCTGCAGCGCACTAGATGAAGACTACGTGGTCCCTGAGGTCTACGTACCGACGTGCTCGGATCCAGGTACTAGATACTCGATTCTCCATGAAAAGCCGGCATGGTTTCTGTGTTTGTGGTGCTCTGAAGCATGTATTGCGGTACTTGGAAACCCACCCTCATGGTCCCAAGTTGGCAGTGCCGTAAAGTCCGGACACGCTGGAGTCAACGGTGCACCGAGTTTGAAAGACCAGGCGCACCAGACACCGTCCCAATAACAATACAATTAGATCGCTGACAGATAGAGTCAACTAGTGCAATACCTGCCGCCAGGGGACCCTCCCCGTGCCAACAGCCAGGCTGCGCCAGTTAACACCCAGTGCCAGTAGACTTGACTGCATGTTCACGGGCCCGAAATTGCGGACTGCCCGTTTCCCTTCGTTCCCGCCTCGCCACCTTGCACTCTAAACTCTCTACGGAGTAGTTGGCACTTTTACTCCAACAACCAGACCTCTCCTCCTCACGACGTCGACGCCGCCCTTGAATCCGTCAAGTCGGCACTCGGCCGTTCGAATTCCGGTGCTGCTTCTCTTCTTTGCAGTTGCACCCGTTGTGGCCTTATTTCGCGTCGGTCGCGCTCAAGGTCCTGTACTCTAACTCGCCCTCACGATTTCTCTTACGCCCCCCACGATCCGCATACTGGCTGGCGTTCCCGAGTTGAACGGGCATTCGCCCGCAACTTCACACTGATCATGAGCCCCCCTACGAGTCCAGAGCCTGGCCCGGATGCCATGTTATCAAAGGTGCAGACACAGAGAGCACGATGGGCGACCCGCAAGATGACGGTCAAAAGCAGCCACACCAAGCGGCTATCTCTCCTTAACCGCATGCACAAGCGAACTCAATCCGAGAAAAGCGTTA